TTGTACAACTTCCTTTGCCTTTCGAACATTTTGCAGTTTTGGACTCAAGCAACTGGCTCTTTATGAAGGCATATGAATAATACATGTACAGCATCTACAAGCACTAGATGCTGCCTATTTATTTTAGAAAAGTATATTAATGAATCAATTATTTATAATTAGCTATATAGGATGGCTAATGCTGTATGTGACAGTACTTAATGAACCCCTTTGGTAATTGCAATGGAGATGATAATGAAAAGGACAACATAGGAAGGCACAAAACAGGAAAGACTTTGAGGCTCATGGATTGGTGAATGTAGTACTACTCTAGTGCAGCCTCCTGAATAAATGGCATGTAAAAATCCCCCAGACACCAACAAGCAATAAAATCTGGCTTTTTCTATCTCCTACCAGATCTGGAAACTTAGCATTCTTGTTAGATGAGCTCGGTGATAGCTTACAGACAAAATGCTATTCCAGGGGATATAAAGAACAGGCTTTAAGAGGAGGGAGATATTATATCTTATTTTCTTCTGCTGCTTATAAAAAGTGTGCATTGTCATAATTGTCTTTGTTTTTATTTTCTTCATTATACATTGGGCACTTCGTGCTTATTGTTTCTTATACTTAGTCCAAGCTACGTACGTGTGTTGCCACTCTTTTCTGTGCTTCTGTAACTCTGTGGTTTTATTAGTCTGGCAAGTATCAATTTATCAGTTCTGCAATTGTAGCAACCCTTTTTAGATGCCTGTGCCTGTTTCTGCTGTTATGCACTCATATAAATGGTTCCAAAAAATATCTGCTGAAATATTGTGATACTGATCACTAATAAAGACCTTGTAGCTTATTATAAAAAGTCTGTTGGCTTCTACCTATAAAAGTACTTGCATGGCTTTTAGTCCAGTTGAGGGTAAAACACTGTTGCTTGGATCTTCCATGCTTATGTGCTTCCCACTGCCACTTTAATAAAGACCTTGTAGCTTATTATAAAACTGAAATAAGTCTGTTGGCTTCTACCTATAAAAGTACTTGCATGGCTTTTAGTCCAGTTGAGGGTAAAACACTGTTGCTTGGATCTTCCATGCTTATGTGCTTCCCACTGCCACTAATGAAATGGTCGTGAGATGTTAGTACAGGTGTGATAAGCTTAGTGGAGTAGTTCTGTGGATGCTCTGTACAGCAGAGAAGTTTGTGCAGTCACCACTATTATTTTAAGATGAATGTAAACGGTCTTTCAAAGATCTTGTTTAATACACTAACAGTGTAAAAGAAACTGCTGGGAGCATATTAAGGACAGGATTCTTCTCACCCAGTCTGAGCCATTTACGATGGAGATTTCTAGAACCTAACTGATCACCCAGGGCCCTTTATCATCATTGAAGAGGAACTGATGGCTTTGGGGCATGCTTAATCTTAACTGCTTTTAGCCGTCTGCTTTAGGAAAAGTGGAATCACATCCTAGGATACCCAGGCTCTTTTGACTTCACCTGCACTGATGGTAAGGATACCTCTGCATCTATGTTGTGGGCATCCAGCTTTAGTGAGATGGTGAAATCCCAGAACACTGTCCTCAGAAGCCTCAGCTCTGTGTTTGCAGGTGGCTGTGTGGCTGCAGTCCTGATGGCTCTGGTGACCCTTTGATGTGTAAGTGGAACTGGCTGTATTTCCAAGCCTAAGAGGGGACTCTGAGGCATATTTAATGCATACGGGGGGAACTGACATCTTGAAATATAGCAACCTGCTTCATTAAAAGTCATGTCAGGAGGAGCAGGCTCCTTGCCTCAGTAGCTGAAAGAAAGGAGAATTCTCTCGGAGTATGGGGAGTGCATACGAGTGCTCTCTGTGCAAGGTGGCTTGCATCCACGTACCCTGCCGCATCTCAGGAACTTATCTTAGCACTTGGGTGTAAGCTGTTCTGGAGTGGGAGGACTCTCTCCTTCTAAAACTGTGTCACTTGACAGGAAACTGGGCCAAACAAAATAAAATTTGATCTAAGATTATGCACTTTCCTTGACAAAGGGAGCCCTAGGCTGCTACAAGAACTGTTTCTACATTCAGTGTGTTTAATCGTATGCGTTCCTTCTCCCAGACAGGCGATTTAATTGCTTCACTACAAAATGTGCTCGTTAGTTTCCCTCTGACCAATGCCTTCTCCCAGGCCATAGAAGGTTGGGTCATACGTAAGTCTTGGGCTGTCATGGTGCACCACAGAGAATGTAAAAAGCAAATCTTTTTTACTGCTTGCCTTTATCTCTCTTGGTGTGGCATACCTTTTGGCACACAGGGTGGCAATTATCAGAAATTTGTTCCCAGCAATGAATACAGAGCATTAACTCCATGGTTAATGCCAACCAGAGTGATGATACGCTTGCCTCCTTTCTCACTGCTGACTTGCTGACATCTGAGAAAGGTGGTTAAATACCCTTGGTATTCAATTTGTGCTAAAATAGTAAATAGCCAGTTTGAAGGTTGATAAGCCATGGGGTGGGCTAAGGAATGGCTATAATATATGCAGGACGAAAGTAACTTGAGATTAATTTCTTTCTATAACTCAGCTCTGACAACATTCTTTGAAGGAAACTTAATACATCATCTTTGTTGTATGTAAAATCTGTTTGGTTATAAATAGGGCAAAGTTACAATAGGATTTGATGACCCTGACTGGAGCATTGTAAAGAAGGGGCCAGGCACTAAACCGTTGATGTTTAAATCAGGGGAAAAGCTAGTTAGTGTTCCTGACATTAAGGGAACGAATTTTCAGAAAGCTGTTCATTGATATCTGACAAACAGCTTGAAAGAGATGCCAAACCCTCAGGGTTTCCGTCATGAGCCTGAAAACGCATTTACATATTTTCTGCATAGAAACAGGAGCTCACTCTCTGTTGCCAAACTGCAGAACTAAAAGGATGCAAAACCTCTATCTAGTCCAAAGGGCTCCGAGGGGGAACTTCATAATCAGAATTCAAATGTGCGCAACAGATTAGGAAAATTACTTCAAATGGGATTTCAACCGTATCTGAGAGAGACCCACAAATCCTGAGCAGATTGGTAGGCAAAATACTGCCTATACTGCCATTAAAAAGATTGTTTTCTTCTCTGGGCATTTCTCATGTAAAAAATAGCTTGCTGACGTCAACTGATCACACAGATTAACATTGATTAAGGTGCTACTGCTTAGCTTTATTGATATCAAATGCAGTTTTTCTGACAGTTTTGATTTCTCTTTTCTCAAACTGAAAACAATATCATCATGAATAGGACCAGAGTGATGGAGGATGGGCAGCTCTGCTGAAGTAAGCGCAGAGTCTGCAATGGTGAGAGCCAGACTGGTGTATCTCCTGCTGGTGGGTTTCAGCTGGGAGTTTGGCTGGCGAGTGTTAGCATCCGTGGTGTGGTCCACACACACATACAGCCACGCTGGCTCCTCTGGCATCCCTCATGCTGCTCTTATGCCTGCCATTTTCATTGGATAGTTTCCCCTTCTGATTCCACATATTATACTTTTCTTGCATTAAAGGAAAATGCTTGCAAAGACAACAAAGCATTTGGGGCCAAGACTGCATTTAATGTGCAGGTGATGTTTTGCCAGCAATATCCTCCATATCATGGACTGGCATATGCCTTTGTCATTTTGAAGAGGAAGCTGATGACTGCAGAGGAATTTATGGTGGATGGAAGTGCCATATAATTTTTAGCACATAGCTTTACTCTCTGGTCATCTACCCACCCAGGCAGTAGTGTGGGTGGGGTTCTCATTGCTATTAATGGAAGAGTTGCCATTTAAATTTCCCATGCATCAAGCAAACAATAGACTTCTGATGCGTATACATGGCACTGCCATTGATCTGATTGATTCTAGGTTGCAGTGGTGGATGTGGTCAGTGATGTGTGAATAAATAGGAAAGGCACAGTTAACTCTTTTCATGAATGTCTGTATTAGTCAGGACTGTCCTTGCAGTAAAGTGCTAATAAGAAAATCAGTATCGATACAGTTAGATGACAGCCCATCATGATGATGATGTTAGAAAAGAAATAAATGATCCATGACTTGTTATAGATTTGTGCAACACTGGTGGAGTTTTAAAACTGTAGAAAATAATTGATATTGTATGTTCTTTAAAGATCTGGCTCTATTTCTGTATGATGTGACTTTTTATCTCTCTACCCTTTATTTTGAAGGCTCACGTAACAACAGCATAGGTTGGCAGAGATTTAAAACACAAAGAACGTACATGGCTTCACATCACTGTCCTACAGAGAATTGTGTTTAAGACTAAATGGTGGGGGAGGTCTTTCAGTAGCTCAGAAGAAATGCTTTTGCCAGGTTTGTGCGATTGGAGTCAAATCAGGAATATTAGGTGTGTCTCCTGCCTTCTGGTAAGATGACCTGAGCGTGAGACTGTTGGTGGAGCAATGTGCTGCTTCGTTAAAGGGAACCCAGGTTTGCTGAGTTGCCTGGTTTTGTGCCTTGTCTGCAGCTTTTTGGGGGAATGGCCCAGGTTTCCCTGGAAAGGGTGGAGGAGATTGCTGTGCAGGATAGCCTGTGGCTCCGCACAGGGGTGAATATGTGAAGGATACTGAGGAAGAGCTGGTGGTCGGGGCGGGGGGGGAGTTGTACCCATGGACCAGGAGGGGATCCTGGGATGGCAGCCGTTCAAGGCATGTGCAGAAGCAAAAGCTACCGTGTTTCCAGTTTTTGGGAGTAAAATTGTTAGTTGTCTAAGACATATGGGGCTGTTTGGGGCAGATCTAGTTCTCGTACTTAAAACTGAAATCCATTTGTGGATCCAGGTCCTACAGTCTGACAGAACTGCTGCAATAAAAATTGTGAAACAAATATCCCGCTTTCTACAGTGTCAGTGTAGTCCAGGGCCAGCATTTATATAGAAATATATTTGTAGCCATTTTAGAAGCACTATTTTGGATATAATTAAGTATCTTTTTTTTCAGTAAGTAGGGAAAACATTTAATTCTCTTTTCACCTTGGTTTCCGTAATTTTGTTTCCAGCAGAGCCAAAATGTCAGACAAAAGCGATTTAAAAGCCGAACTTGAGCGCAAAAAGCAGCGTTTGGCTCAGATAAGAGAAGAAAAGAAACGAAAGGAGGAAGAAAGGAAGAAGAAAGAGGTAAATATGCAAAAATGCCTTTTAGATAGCTCATGCTTGCAGAGGGGGCTTGCTGAGGTTTTGACATCTCAGTATTGTGTAACCCAAGGTATCTGTCATCTGGAATGAGACCCTCAAACCCACATCAGTCTAACCTTAAAATCAAATGCTTATTTTTAGTCAAAGAAGTTGGGGTGAGGGAATTGCTTTTAAAAGCAAAGCACTGTCAGATGACAACAGTTTAGACAACATGATGTGTATGTGTGTGTGTAGAAAGAAAAATCAATTTGCCACAATGCTTTTTCCTGGGCTCTCCTTCAATGGAAAGAGAGGGGAGAGTGGGGAAAGACAGAAAGAGGGCTTACAATTTTTTCAAGCCATTACAATCTAAATATGTATTTTTGTACTCTGAAGACTAGTTTGATCACTAGCTAAGGTAAGAGATTTACAATTATTATTCTCCAGTAATGTAAAGCATAATTGCGATTGCATTTTTATCTTCTGGCATGGGTGCATCTTTCAGTTCTGTTAAAGTTTGATTGACATATTAGTTTATTTGTCCTTGACAATATGCATTAGGTTTTTCATTAAGGGATTTGTACTTCTTTTTATTCAGTCACTTAGTGGAATAGAGGTGAGAATTGACAGGGAGTGGATATTCATTTTCATGCAAAGTCAGAGAAGCATTAAGTGATTATGTTTCCTTTCCTTCAAATGTCAACACTTACCATAGTTTAAAGCACCTGTTATCCTTTACTAATAACTGGTTTCCTTTTAAACTGACACTTTAATATTGTACATGAATTTCATGGAATTACTGTGGAAATGTGATGTGATCCAAGAAATCAGCGTTCCAGTTTTGGCTGTCTTTTTAATCTTTTTTCATGTGAGCCATTTTTGTGCAATTACCAGCATCCCCCCCAGGGAGGCTCCTGGAGCCACTAGGGGAGTCCTCTGTAAGCAGAACTTTCAATGTTAACATTTGCAGTGTTCATTACTAGCCTGTTAATGAATTAGAGGGAAGGGAGCCAAGCTAATGGCTCGAGGAAGCTATTAAGCCCTTTCCTTTGTCCCCCACCTCTGATTTTATGCCTCGTGGAGATCTTGTGGTCGTTGGAACTTTCTGGTGGCCCCAATAGCCAGATCCAGCTTGGGACACCCCGCTCTACAGATTACGCTGCCATGCCTAACAGTAGCACCGTAAATGGGATGCACTGGTACGCCTGATGGCCTCCAGGAGTGAAGTCTAACATTCATTTAGTTGCTCAGCCACATACACTGGCGCAGAAGAGTTGTCTACAACCCTACGTACTGTGAGAGACTTCAGGCTGGCTCATGGGAAGAGCTGAGCACAGGAATATGCTTGAACTTTGTCATTGTCTGTAAAAGCAATGTTCTTCTGCATCCTGGCCATGCCCAACCAGGAGAACGTGGGGATGCTTCTGAACTTCAAGGTTTTCTGTTGTGCCTGCACCAAAATCAACACCAGGCCGAGGCACTGTGTGAGTCCCCTGTGCCCCACACTCTGCTTTCAGCAGAAAGGAAAAGTCTCCGCGTGGAGGTTAGAATAGGACCAGTCGAAGCAACCTGAGGATCAAAAGTACAGAAGCAGATGCCACCAGATGTTCTTTTATAAGAACTATGCTGGGATTGCTGTATTTAAGACATGATAAAATGGTAGGCACGACCACTTGCATTTTGTTTCACTTGCATTATTCGTTACTGCGCTGGGCTACAAAGTGGGACATGGGTTCAGTTCCCTCATCTGCTTGGGAGAAGGGCTGCAAGCCTGTTTCTTTCAATGGAGTGCTCTAACTACTGGGCTGAGGTATCAGTGTTTTCCTTCCACCTTACTAAACCGGAGAATGATGAGCCAAATGTAAGGGATTCTGGCTGATGCAGGTGTTGCTCCTCCTGTTTCTAGATCCCAGTAGGCCAGAGGGAGAGGAGGCTAATGTGTGGGAGCTCCAAGGAGATAAAGATATTTAAGCCAAGAGGGAGGGGTCTTGTGGACCATTAGTTTCGGCTGTTAGTGCCCAGGGCTGCCAAAATCCTATTTTAGACACGTTAGTCCTTTCCTTTGCTCCTGTTAGATGTTGGCAGCGGTTGGACTTAATGATCTTAAAGGTCTTTTCTAACCTAAATGATTCTGTGACATTTATGAGAAGGTATTTTTATTGCCAACAAGTGCTTGGGACCAAATGTAGGCTCTTAAACCACATCACTGAAGTCCAATGGAATTTTATTTCTTGATCCTTGAGTAAGTAGAAAGGAACCATTTTTATTCAGGGTAATGATACCTGTTATTCTATGGTCAGCTTTTATATTAACTGTATAAGTTGCATCTGATGAGTGAGAGGCATAGGATGTCCATCAGAGTACTGTAAAAATCCTTGCAAATATACTTGCAAAGATAATTTTTCTCATGCATTCAGGGAAAAATATTGTTACTGATATATGGAGTATAAATTATCTGAGTTATAAATTATCTAAACATATCTAAGTAAATTTCAAAGTGTATCTAAGCAGTGGTGCATGTAAATATTTTCCATGCACTTAGTTGATAGAGCTGATATATGTGGATGAAACTTTTCTGTTTTGTCTTGTTTTAACTCAGGCTGATCTACAGCAAAAGAAGGAGCCAGCTCAGGAAGATTCTGACCTAGACCGCAAAAGAAGAGAGACAGAAGCTTTGTTACAGAGCATTGGTATATCCCCAGAACCACCTCTAGGTATTTAAGAGAAGCACACTGTAAAGCATTCAGCTCTGCTGCAAGGAATGCATTCTTCCTATTAAAGCATGCTTGGCTTTTTTGATTTTTGGCTGTTAGTGAAGTGAACTCTTCTGTTTGAATGCCTGCCATACCATTCACATATACCAGCTCATGGCATTTTGAGTACTTGTCATTGCCAAAAACATCTGTTACATTTCTCCAAGATTTTTTTTGTGAACGTAATGCAGGTTGGTTTTGCATACCAGCAGTGATTTCTTTTCTGATGGACTGTTTTATCTTCTCTCACGTCTATCTGATGACCCATAAAATAATATTATGTATACTGTACTTCGTTAGCCCCAAGTTTTGTTTCAAAAATTCAGATTAAGCATTTGCTAAGGAAGGAGGAGCACAGTCATGTGGGAACTCCCACTGATTTTCTTCTAAAACCAAGCAAAACTGGAGAGGGGAAATAAAAAGACAAATCACAACTAGCAAAAAGCTTATCATTAGATGATTAGTGTAGATTTTAGATCTGGTTTCGTGTGCTCGACCTCTTTTTTGGTTTCAGTGTTTCAGTTCTAGAATCTAAAGTCCTCAGTTGAAAAATGCATGTGGCAAAGTTTATAGTATCTGAAAATTGGTTACCTTTTTAAGTTCTGTCTCACTTATCGGGTGTCTGTAAAGTGAGAAATTTCCTTCCTTCCTTCCTTCCTTCCTTCCTTCCTTCCTTCCTTCCTTCCTTCCTTCCTTCCTTCCTTCCTTCCTTCCTTCCTTCCTTCCTTCC